ACACTCCTTAGGCTTGTAGAGGCCACTCTACCTGCCCATTCACTGGGCTCTTGCCTAGCCACCCACTGATGCTCTGTGGGGACATGGGTAGTGTCACATACAGCCTCTGGAGAAGTTAAAGAGAAGCTATGTTCTTTTCTATTTATGATACAAACTTCGGAATGGCACATTTAGCATGGCTAGAAAATGAAAGGATTTTTCCTTCACATTTTTCTGAATACTCTGGGTGAGGCTTACCCCCGTGGACATCATCAAGGAGCACAGTAACAACCTTTGATAAAGGAAATAGAAGGATTCACAGGTGGCATGATTGCAGAGCGTGAGTAATGATTTAACCAGAATTAAATAAATGATAAGTGGGAACTGAAGATGGAAGTTCTATAAAGAAACAGGCTCTAAAGAGCCACGCAATGCCAGTCATAATGTGGCTACATTATTCTCTAAGTAGGTCAGATGGAATTAGTCAAGAGTGACCCTTTGATAATAGAGAACACCAAGAGACAGTTCCTGGACCTGAACAGGAAGAGATGGTGCCTAGAATGAATCTTTAAATGCACTGATTGGACAAAAATCAAACACCTAAGATTTTTTTTTACTCATTATTCTAAATTTCCACCATTAAGTCACTATTATCACATATAGACTTAATTTAAAAACATTATATTTCTGAAACATGTTCAATAAAACATATTCCCCTGGGGACCCTCATATCTTAGAGATGGCCCTGCGCAGGGCAACAGGACAGATCGGTAGAGTAAACATGGCAAACTGACTTTTAACTCTACATCTTTTATAAATTTTGTTTGTTTCTCATGTACATGTATTTCCTACTAATAAAGTAAATACATATTTATATGAATAAGTACATTGGAAAATAGTTTGGATATCTATACTAATAAAAGAGTAATATGCTAATTAGACCAGGAGACCTTCCAGACAAAGCCGAGGGCTTAGCCAGCCTGCAAACTGCCCCCAATCGGCCCTCAGCCCCTCGCCCAGGCCAGCCACATGCCCCTGTGGGGACTCTCACCCCAAAGCGGGTGTGGCCAACCGGCAAACAGCCATCAGCCCCTCGCTCAGGGGACCATGCCCCCCAGCAGAAACCCCTACCCTGATGGGGATGTGGCCAGCCTGTAAACCACCCCAGGCCCCTCGCATAGGCTGTCCCTGCCACACAAGGGGACCCCCACCCTGATCTGGAACCCCCTTCAGGGCAGACCAGCCGGCCCCCACCCATGCACCAGGCCTCAATCTATACTAATAAAAGGGTAATACGCTAATTAGACTGGGAGACCTTCCAGGAGACCTTCCGGACGTCATTCTGGACAAAGCCATAGTGGCGGGACTGAGGCAGATAGGCCTGGAGATGCTGACTGTCATAGAAACCGACCAATCAGAACCAAATCTGGGTGAACTGCAAGGAGCCAATGTCTGTGGCTGCCTAGGGGGCAGTCAGCTTTTGATGCTGACTGGCATGAAAACTGACCAATCAAAACCTAATCTGGGTGAACTGCGAAGGCAGAACCTAAGGTGGGAGCTGAGGAGGAGTTTTAAGGGCAACAGCTGTTTGGTGTAAGGTGTAAGAAAGCAGTTCAATTTTCTAATGACCAGTTTGGTAGTATAGCGCATATGGCTGGCTATCAGTCTTGATATAGGGATTATGTATTTTTGTCTGCCAAGAGCATCTCCTCCTGCTGAAAAAGGATTTTCCCCTCCCCATTTAAGCAATCCTATCCTATATAATCTATCTATACTAATAAAAGGGTAATATACTAATTAGATGTCCAACTTCCTTCCAGACAAAGCCATGGTGGTGGGGGCTGAAGCAGAGGCAGTTAGGGGCAATCAGGCCGGCAGGGGAGGGCAGTTGGGGGTGAGATCAGGCCAACAGGGGAGAGCATTGGGGATGAGATCATGCCAGCAGGGGAGGGCAATTAGGGGTGATCAGGTAGGCAGAGGCAGTTAGGGGTGATCAGGCAGGCAGGCAGAGAAGTTAGGGGTGTTCAGGCAGGCAGGCAGGTAAGCAGTTAGGAGCCAGCGGTCCCATATTGTGAGAGAGATGTCCCTGATTGGAGAGGGTGCAGGCTGGGCTAAGGGACACCCCCGCCCCTCCCCGTGCATGAAGTTCATGCACCGGGCCACTAGTTAATTATAAAAGAGACATTTATGTTAAATCTCAAATATATAAACCTTACAGATCAAATAAAAAAAAACTCAAAAAGTGTAAATGTGTCCTGGCAGGGTGGCTCAGTTGGTTGGAGCATTATGCCTACACCAAAAGGTTGCAAGTTCCATCCCTAGTCAGGGCATGTAAAGGAGGCAACTAATAAATGTTGCTCTCTCACGTCAATGTTTCTCTTTCTCTCTCTCTCTCTTCCCTTACTGCTCTCTAAAAATCAATAAAAACACATCCTCAGATCACTATTTAAAAAATGTAAATGTAATGTAATTATTTGGCCCTTCATTTATGTTTCCTCTGGTCTTCCTGCTAAAAGATGTGACACATTCATGAAATTATCAACAGATTAGCAATAACAATTTCAGCTGCACCTGTTCATAAAGAGTAACTATTTCTAACACACCTTTATTATTATTTTTTTTTATCTTAAGAGACTCTTTTTAAAAAGAACATATAGTTGTTCTTCCCTTTGATCTTTAGGATTTTCTAAAGCAAATTATCTTCTGAAAATATTTATCTGTTTCTTCTTCAGCATGTATTTTCCAACTTTTAGCTTTTTTCTTTAAATTTAGGTATATTTCTCAGTAAGCCTTAACCAATCAACTAATTTTACCTCCTGGTAGCTAATTTGGCATGGCATGGCAAAGTAATTTTATTGTTCTTTAAGGAGCAAAGTATTTTAAAATTATTTTGAAATAATTTTATCTGATCATATGTTATAAATAAAACAATAGGTAGATTTATTCATAGTAATAATCTACATTTCAAGTAATTTTTGTCAAGTTGACAAGTGAGAATATAGTAATTAAAATCATTTCTATTGTAATAGAACTCGTTAGTCAAAGGCACCATAAAGATCAACTAAATTAATATGAATTATTCAAATAATGTTTTTCAGTTTAAAATATAACATAATCAGCATTGAATTATTCTTAGCTTTAAAAAATAATTTCAAGAATTTTATAATATTTTTTTCTGAAGAAAAAAAATTTTGGAAATGTGATCTATTCAAGCAGTCTTTAGTCACCATAGAGAAGAAGAAATCAATAATGGAGCTAGTTAATTGTACAAAACAATTCCTTGAAGGAAATTTATTTCTGTCGCAACTAGGGAACAGATGCACTGCACTGCACATTCTGAGCGTTGATAGTTCTATTGGTGCCATAATTAACCAATATTTTAATCTTCTTTGCTGAGAGATAGGGAAGGTAAAGCCTGCAGCCTTGTTAATAGAGATCAATGTTCTTTAAAAAGTGAGAATTAATAGATATATTCTGTAGCACTTCCCTCATCTCTGAAAATATTAAGACTAACAACGTGTCAAAATACAATGCCAAACAATAAAGTCTTAGAGAAAAGCATATAAAAATTAAATAAGAATACTGAAGAAGTAACTCAAACTAGAATTTACAGAAACTATTCATGGATATTTCTTTGAAATAAGATAAGCATAACTCTTAGTTTACTACATATTTACCAGTTCAAATATAATATAGTCAAATGTGTTTTGACCACCCATAATGGTGCAGATAAAGCACTGGCAAGGATTAAATACATATTTTCATGTATTCCCAGCTTTTGCAATGCTGAGAACATGCTCAGAATTCCCTTGAGTTAAATTTTAGACTTCAATGCATCAGACCCATTTCAATAGACGGCAGCTATATTGTAAACTTTCTATGCTTTCACTAACTTGATAGTTACCTTGATCACTAGCTCTACTAAAATCTATTATTTTCTCAAGCACTCATTCCCAATCCCATTGCTACATGGAAATAAGCACCAAATCCCTTTTCTCAAATCCTCCCACTTCTTCCTGTCTCCATAACTAATACTCAGGTTCAGGCCTCCACAGCATCTCAGACTTTGTAATATTTGTTGTGTCAACCTCTTAATCTAGGTCCTATAGTCCAATCTAATAACATCCAATGGATTTTCTGCACTTCAGTTAGGCTACTCTTTCTAAAATACCAATGTGATTAAGTCACCACTGCTTAAAACCCATCTGTACCTATGCTTTGGAATTACTTCTAAAGCATCTTACAATGGCCCAAGAATTTCTGTATAACGGATCCCAACTGATGCATAGAGCTGCTTCCCCTCCTTGTACATGGCTTATGCTCCTCTCATAGCAAAATGCTCTTAATTTTTCAAGTGCACAGTGTCCAGTGACCATATTTCTTCTTTCCCTAAGCTATTACACTTACTTTTTCCTCTGTCATCTCACATTCTCCCCTTGCCCACTCTTTATTTGGCTGGTCATGACTCATTCAGTTCTCACTTTTTCGAGCCCTTGAGCGCTTTAGAACTCTTCTCTTACATGCTCCAGTCTGATCTCAGTTGTATCCTTTCCTAGCACTTGTTCCAAAGAACTGTATACTAAGATTTGCGTTCACTGAGCTTGGGGACCCTGTTTGTCCTCTTGGTTATTTGTTTTGTTTTGTTTCTGTTCTTGATGTATTCACTGGACCAAGCTCAGAATGTTGTATTCAGTCGGGACTGAATGCATATTTATTGAATCAATCCTGAGTAATGGCAGGCTCTTTAACCATAAAGCATGTGTAAGGAAGGAGGGTGACATAATCATCAATTCACACTGCATTGTTGTCTGAATGAGTCCATACATTTTTCTCCTCAAGACTTCTAAAAATATTTCTCTCTTAAATGCACAGAAGGATGTATCTAAATAAACAACTCTGCCCCTAAACGATTGGCAAATGCTGTAAGGGAAGTCTAGGGTCAGCAGAAGATTAACTGACCTCATTTCCATTTTGTCTAATTCAGATAGTACAAATGGTATTCAAAAGGTATTATTCACACTGGCCGGTTTTCTCATTGGTTAGGGTGTTGGCCTGAAGACCAAAGGGTCATGGGTTCAATCCCTAGTTCTGGTCAGGGTGGCAACCAATCTTTCTCTCTCTCTCTCTCTCTCTCTCTCTCTCTCTCTCTCTCTCTCTCACTGCCCTCTTCTCCCTCCTTTCCACTCTGTCTGAAAATCAGTGGAAAAAATCTTTGGGTGAGAATTAAAAAAAAAAAAAAAGGTATTATTTATACTTTCAATTCAAGAGCCCTCTAATTTGTGTAATGCTTGTCAGAGGAAACAGTGATTTAAAAAAGGCACTTTCAGTAAACACTCTTTCATCAAACATTGTTAAAGAAAAGTATTTTTTAAATGTATTTTGCTTTATTTTAAGTAGATCTGTGGCTAAATGGGTTGACAGTTAATACATACATAAAGATATTTTAATTTTCTTCAAATAAGAAACATTTCTTAAATTTTGATTTTTGATTTTTGAGACTATTTGACAATTCCTTTGTTATTCCTGGTAAATTCCTCAGTCATATTTCCAAAATAAATCACTCTCATCAAGGTTTCACCCACTTATAGGCTCTCATTTTTAGTGCAAAAAAAAAATTACTCCTACTTCAGGTAAAAACTGAGCCTGTCAAGTTTGAATGATTCAGCATTCCATTTACCTTATTTCAAATAAAAATTTATAAAAATCAATCCTTGTCTTTTAGTCGCAGGGAAGGAGAGGTTACTTGTCTTAATGAAATACAGTTCCTTTGGATGGATCTCAATTTTTTTTCCAGTGCATTCCCTGTCAATAGTCATGTATCTTGTCTATATTGTAGCTTACTTTCTCTACCGGTCCTTTGCCTGCACTTATATATACCAGGCTTTTAGCTTGCTTTTTCTGTCCTCTTTATGTTCTCATCTGGACATTGCTGTTCTTTACCAAGCTCATCAGGTTGTTGACAGAATTCAGTTCCTTGCTGCTGTTGGTCAAGGCTATTAGAGGGTACCCACAGTTCTTGTCATTAGCTCCCTTCTATCTTAGTGTCAGAAATGGAAAATCCATCTTGTGTTGAATTTCCCACAATACTTTGTCTCTCCAGAAAGAGCCCAGCCTCTCTAAGGCCTCATCTAATTAGAATAGTTCCACTGAGAATATTCTCCCTATCTTAAAAGTCAACTAAGTTGGGATCTTAATACCTTAATTACATATGACAAATCCTTCACAAAAGCACATTATATTTGACTAGAGGACTGGTGCATGAAAATTCATGCACTGGAGAGGGGGTCCCTCAGCCCGGCCTTCCCCCTCGTACAGTCTGGGAGCCCTCAGGGGCGGGAGGCCACCCAGTGATCAGGGGAAGGCCACGCTGCACCACACTTCTGCTGCTGCCACTGCTGGCAGTGCAAGCCTTGGCCGGCCCTGGTTACCTGAGCCTTGGGCCAGCCCTAGGGAAGCTGGGCAGCCAACATCTGAGTCTTGCCTGTGCCTCAGGTCAGTCCTGGCCAGCTGGGGGGCTGAGGGACTGGGGGACTCCAGAGGCAGGCGCGGAGTGGCTGGGCCCACCTGGAGGCGGGCCCAGTCTTGCCACGCTCCTGCCACCCAGGCAGGGCTGAGGGGACTGGTGGTTTTGCTGGCCACATTTTGTGGGCTGTGGGGTGCCGCCATCTTTGCGACAGTGTGAGGGTCAATTAGCATATTCCCTCTTTATTAGATAATATTGAGTAACTGGGAGAATGTGGGTATATTCCACTAATAGGAAGTTTGGGGGATATTTTAGGATTTCTACCTTCCATACTCATTTGTTTTACATTTACCCTATTTTGTGCTTACTTAGCTATTTGTTTTACTTTTTTATCATACAGTCCTCGGATTCCTGCCTGGTGTTTTGAACTTATCTTTCTGCCTTCTCTCAGCAGTAGGAATAATATATTTCTTTTTTAACAAAAACTAGTAGGCTGCAAAGTGTTTATTTAATCTAGTTCCATTGTGGCTTATTTTTTGCCTAAATTTTAAAAGGTTTGTGCACATATTCTGATAGACAACAAGAGGTTTATATGTTTTTACCTTTTATTCTGTCTCCAAAAGCATTTTGGAATAAAATAGAAATAATATATTATTTTGCTTTTAAAATACTACTTTAAACTATTGTTTCCACTTAAAATAGCCTTTTATCTAATAATTTAAAAAAATAAAATAGTATGCTAATATTGGTAATTAAATGCTCTAAATGATGTATAATTGAATCTTACAGTTTTAGAAATTGGATTTATCATTATTAAGCTCATATCAGTATTAACGCAGAACATTTTAGATGACTGATATAGCATTGTGTTTGCTAAGGGATTAAGGCATTTTTATCATATTGATCTTTAATGCTACAAGTAACTGTCTTAAATGTGTAAAAATACTAGAGGATATCACAAAAAATAAATAGAAGTATATATTTTAATGACCTCTGTGTCTAGGGAGGCTGGTCTTTTTGATATAAGATTGGCCTTATCCTGCTGAGAGAGACATAGAAGATCTTTCTTCAGGTTCAATGGTGGTTCAGTGGCCTGCTGTGATTTACCCCAAGTCAATAGTTGTCAGCAGGTCTGTTGACTATCATTTGAGATAATAAATCTTGATCTTCACCATAGTAGAAGTCAATATCCACTTAAGTTAAGAAAATCACAGTGTTTACTTTTATTGTATAACAGGAATTGGCTCGACTTGGCTCGACCTAATCAAGTAATCTATTTCCTATGGTGAAACCCATTCTGACTTGTCTTGATTGGGTGAAAAGAATGCTATGGGCAGTCACTAAAATGTCAAGTTGCTGTGACTTACCTCTCAAATACTGTTTCCAATTTAGATGTAGAGATTCTTTCAATATATGTTATAAATTCAGATTGACTGGCTTTACTATTGTCTATCACTTGTATGAACATAGTATTTATTTATTTGATAGCATTTAATTTACCTTTAAAAATATAATTATACTTAGACATAGCTTTGAAATATTTCACATTCTATTAGCTATTTAGTTATGAGCATGGTATTTAAAGTCTAATCTTTTGAGAATCAATTTTCTCATCTGAAACTTGTTAGTAATAATTATACTGTTACTGTGGAATTAAATGTTATATTATTTCTAATTACTTTTAGGCAAAGAATTATATAAGAGGTATGTCATAAAAATAGGTATGTGTTTGTTTAATGTGGCTTAAATCCATAAAAGAATACTTCTGTCTCAACTCTATCTATGCACATTTGCTTAGTGTGTATAGAGTTGAGACAGAAGTATCATTTACTGACATTCCATATAGACAAATAAAAAGGATCTTGTATCAAAGAATTCAGTGGTAACCCATTATCTCATTAATCCTTAATTCCAAAACCAATCAAGTAGTAATTGATTTTTTTAATTTAAATGATCTCATTGTGAATGTAAGAAACATCCAAACCAATAGAATATTTTTATGAGTTTATTTGAGCAAAACTACTAACAGTTGCTGAGAATCAAAATCTCAATGGATTGAGAGAATGCTCCAGAGAATGGCAGTTTTGCACCTTATTTTATACATTACAATGAAAGGAGATGTAAGGATGTTATAGAAAATCCATTGGTGGTAGATTAGGAAGATGAGGAAAAAGCAAATTGGGAAAATCTCTGACATTATATAAAAAGTAAAATGAAGAGACAAATAGGTCTTTTACATTGGTGGGTACAGAACAGTCAGCATTCAGAGCACACGGAGATGGTATGCAGAACAAGGTAACCATGAGGGGTTCTGTGGTCTCTGTTCTGGTGGGAGCTTGTGCCCTGAGAGGTCTGGAAAAAGGGTATTATTCTGACATTCCAAAGGTATGTTATCATACATGCTTAGATAAATTCAATAGAGAACCATCTAAATTTAGGAAGGAATGTTCTATTACCAAGATCACAGAATATCTGGAAGACTACTATCTCAGACCAATCCAAAGGCTAATAATACAGGATTGGCTTTTCTCAAGAATTGTGCCTTTTATGATAAAAACTCTCAACTTTCCTCTTTTCAATACCAGTAACCAGTTTTTAAATGCGCTTTGCATTTTAACACTCCTCTGACCCCTGGAGGTGTGGGGGCCAACAAAATATAAAACTTTCCTCCCACCTAAATTCTTCTAGCTGGGCTAATAATTATATTAACAAGAGACAGATTAATAGGAGAAAATGTCCAAAGTTTATTTTAAGCAATTTACATGGAGATGAAAAAGCATATGTGTGGTAAACAAGTGCTTTCTGGGCCGTCTTTCACAATGGGACACAGATAAGACACTGAATAAAATGGGCCTTGCTAAGTTCCTCTCTGTCTATCACGCACTAATTTTATTAAACTATAGTTATCTGTGATAATACAGTATCTCCCTTCTTGGAACAGGTCCACTATATAAATTGCTTAGGCAGCTAGTGGGGAGGTAAAAGATGGTTTTTTTTGTTGTTGTTGTTGTGTTCTCTTTGTCTTTAAAATAAAATCAGCTTAAAATCCGTATCTCAAAAGGCATATTTTGGGACTGCAAACTCTGCTTCCCTTCACAGTAAAGTAGCAGAGTCAGGAGAAATCCCTGTGTGAAACAAAGACAATGGGGAATGGTAGGGTCAAAGGGTTTCCTAGAGGGGACACTAAAAACCAAAAGAAGAAAGGCATATGCTTCCTAAGAAGCAGTGTGGGTTTCCATTCAATTAAACATAGCCAATAGGTTTGAAAATTATACCTTAAATTAGTTGAATACGTCTATTTTTCTCCAGCTGGTACATTTCAGTATGACATAGCATAATTCTGTTTAGCCTTGTTAGAATAACATTCATTAAATTAAACAAAAACAACGGCAAAGTGAGAATGAAAAATCCAATTTACATCTGGTATTTGAACCATGAGATATTTACTTCAAGTTTTAAAAGGATCTGTAGTAATTACTAAAACATTTTAAAAAAATTGTATGACCTTCGGATTACATTTGTTAAGAACTCTATTTCCTTTAGGCAGTCATCTGTACAATAGGGTTCAAGTCTCCAAGTACTTTTAAATGTTATATATACATTGATTTCAGAAAGGAAGGGAGAGGGAGGAA